AAAAAAAAAAAAAAAAAAAGAATTGTTGAGCCAGCCATAGTGGTACATGCCTGGTACTCTGGAGGCTGAGGCAGGCAGATCTCTGTTGAGTTCAAGGCCAGCCTGGGCTACATGAGGAGTTCAAGGTCAGCCTAAATGGCATATGAGAGACCTTGTCTCAAACAAACAAAAAAATTTGTTAGCTATATTTAATGCATCAAGAGTATACCTTCTGAGAAATAATAACTGTAACACACAATTTTAATGAATGCTATTTACTGCTTTTGTTTTTTTTTTTTAATTTTATTTATTTATTTATGTGTGTGTGTGTGTGTGTGTGTGTGTGTGTGTGTGGCCAGCTCAGCCCATCAGGGGGATGTGGTGCTGGGGGATTGAACCGCGGTCCCTGTACTTTGCTAAGCTTGTTCTAAGTAGGCACTTTAGACCACTGAGCCATCTCACCAGCCCAAAGATTTTTTTTTTTTTTTGGGGGGGAGGGGGGGCAGAAACGAGGATTGAACTCAGACCCTTGTGCTTGCCAGGGAAGCGCTTATTCTACTAAGCCATCTCTCCAGCCCCTGAAGATCCATTTTGGACCCTTTTGCACAAAGAACACAAGAAGGAATTACTTTTTTTTTTTTTTTTTGCGGAACCGGGGATTGAACTCAGGCCCTTGCGCTTGCCAGGGAAGCACTTATTCCACTGAGCCATCTCCCCAGCCCAAGAAGGAATCACTTCTTGGAGACTGTTTCTCCATCTGGGAAAGATGGACACTTGGCCTTTTACTATTATTTTGTAATGATCAAATAAAATTACATATAGGTTTCTCTCCCTTTTTTGTGGCATTTGAACCTAGGGCCATTGGTCTAAGTTACATTCCTGGTCCCAGCCCTTTTTATTTTTGAGACAGTGTCTTACTAAATTGCCCAGACTGGGTTTTAACTTGTGATCCTCTTGCTTCAGCCTCCCAGAGTGCTAGGACGCACCATATACCTGGCTGCATCTGAGTTTCTTACAATCAGAGGAGTATGACATAAGACATAAACGTTTGCCTACCTGCTGCCATTATTAGCAATTTACTGAGCTAGATCCCTATGTGGGTGTCTGTTCACTGCTCATCTCCTGTTTATTCTCTTGATACCTGTTTGAATTGTTGAGTACCCCCACTTGGGTCCCTACTCCACTAGGGAAAGGTGCGTATCTCTCAGGCTCCAGGATCCTTCTGTCTATAGAGCTGGTTGTGGGGACACTGGACCACCCTATTTTAACAACCAACTCCAGGATTCTCCGAAGGACAATCAGAAACACTGAGCTCTTTGGGCAGCCTCTGTCACCTGAGTCCCCTTCCCTTAGCCTGCATCCCTGGGGACCTGAACACCAACCACCACCACCCTGGGCTCTGGTGCAGCACAGCCTTAGGAGGTCCAAACCCATGTTGCCAGGCTGACCTCTTCCTGGCTGTGCCCTCTGGGGATGGCTCACCTGGAGAAGGGCTGTCTGTTTGGGCTTGGCCTTCTGCTGCTGCTTTGCTCTCTTGAGGCAAGTCTTTGCTATCTGCACCCCTGAGCTGGGTATGAGAGAAGAGCTGGAGGACAAAGCCAGGGGGGAAGCTGCCATCAGTGAAGTGTCGGACCTCGGCTGGTGCTGCGAATGTCTCTGTGGGTGAGTCGGGAGACAGGGGTTCTGAAAAGGAGGACAGGAAGGAACTGAGAATAGAGGACCCTAGAATCCAATCCAAAGACCCAAGCCCCAAGCCTCAGGAGAGCTGCAGGTGCCTTCAGCCTGCCCTACTCCCCTTGCAGACCTGGGCTACTTGTTGCAGTGCTGTTACCAGAGCCTATTTCTCCCTCCCCACCTCCTGCCCCACTGCCCCTCACCTGGGTCAGGGTCAGGATCAGGGTCCAGGTTTTTAGTCATAGGCCTGCCTCTCTTCTTCCTGACAGGCTCTTCCCCAAGAGTTTCTTTCCATCTCTGGCCACGAGGCTTCTTATTTCCGGGCTCTGTGGCAGGGGCAGCTGCAGAGAAACCTTACATCTTTAAAAGGCCCCAATGGATTCCCAAGGATACCCTCCCAGAAGCAGTCCAGAACAGTCTGCTTCACCCTGTGCCCACTCCCCACCCCCGACTGACCAGGAAGCTCGAGGGGGCGGAGGCCCCTGGGCCGAATCCTTTTAGGAAGGGATGGGTTTTCCTCTGAGTCCAGTAGGACCACAATCTCTGCTGGTGTCCCAGGAGGGTCAGGGTTGGAGCTGGGGTCTGGTTCAATGTCACGGCCTGACTCTGAGAGGGCACAAGTCTGATGAGCTGCCAGGCTCCCTTCAGCCTAGTTTTTCCCTCCACCTGCCCGTCCCCACTCTACTACCTGAAGCTGGTGGAGACAGCGGTTCAGCATGGACATCTTGCAAAAGGGCCACCCCTTCACTCCAGGCTTCTAGGATGTTGTTTTTTTCTGAGGGGCTCAGGTCCAGGGTGTGGGGATGCTGCTCCAGTATGTGTGTGCGAGCAGTGTCGGCTGAGGGAGACCGGATCTCAGCCCCACACACCATACACAGAGCCCGCCCACTGCCTCCTGGGCTGTTCCCCACCAGGAATTCCTGCTCCCAAGACATCTGTGGCTTGGGCTCTTCACAACCATCACCACCTGCTTCCAGCAAGCTGGACCGAGGTGGTGGGGTCTTTTCCTGTTGAGTCACTGCAGAGCAAAGAGAATACGGTGAATAAGGGCACCAATGCTCATGACACTTAGAATGCTCAGAATCCCAGAGCATGAGTCATGATGCACACATCTTACTACTGCCTGTATACTTTCTGAAGTCCTGGGCATCCCACTTTCCATGAGACTGTGTTTCAAGCTGCCCAGACCTAACAGGTGGTCATCTCCATGAGGCTTCTCCAAACAGCCTGTCCTACTTTTATCTGACTTCTAGGCCACAGCTTTTATTTCTCCCTGAGGGTCTTGCTACATATTCCAGGCTGGCCTTGAACTATGTAGTCTTCTGGCCACAAACTCAAGGTGATCCTCTTGCCTCAGGTTCCTGAGTGCTGGGAGTACAGGTGTACGTCCTGGCCAAACTTAATCTTATTGTCTCCACAGGACTTGGCACATAGCTACAGCAGTTCTTTCTATCATGTTCCCAGAGCATCTGCAGTGATGGTCTTGTTGCAATGTGGCTATGTGTCATTACCCTGTACGTGCAGGTTATGAGCTCAGACAGGGCAGAAATCGCTTTCAGTTTGGCATAGGCCAGACCTGAGTCAGCCTGGCAGTTAAGGGCTTCAGTAAAGTACTGATGACTTCTCATGGACGTACATCTCCCAACACAGGAGGGTAGGACAAAATATAAACACAGGAGCTCTAACAAGGGGAATGAGCTGTGTAGAAGAGGTGGAATGTGGAATGGATCTGAACCTCAGCTTGGACCAGGTGATTTGTGTTCCAACAGGGTTGCATTTGTCTCCTGTGTCCTTCGACCCTGATCTCTCTGCCTCAATGGGCTTTCTTTCTCACCTCTCTACTGTCCTGGAGAGCCCCAATACCAAACCCCATGGGCAATTCAATTTCATTTGTTATCATTTTGTCTTAATTTTCATCATTTGGCATCCAAAGTACTGATCTTTTTTTGTTCATTTTTTTTTTTCCCTTTGCAGAGCTGGGAGTGGAACCCAGGGCTTTACATACTCTAGGCAAGTGCTCTACCAGTGAGCTACACCCCAGCCCTCTTCTTTTATTGCCCTGAGGCTCTTTCTCACCTATCTGAAAACCTCATTATAGCTTCTCAGACATTTGCATGGCTCTCTCTTGCATAACCCTCCAGGTCAATGATGAAGAACCATCTACTTCGTTTTGTTTTTTTGGTACTGGGGATCGAACTCAGGACCTTGTACTTGCCAGGTGGGCACTGAAGCTGCTGAGCTATCTCCCCAGCCCCAAGAACCATCTTCTTGCCACTGTGAAGGAGACTGTGATCTTCCTGGTCTAAGCATCTCTTCAGTTTCCTCCATAGTACAACCTTTTGTGTTTTCCGTGGGCACTCTGCTCCTTTCAATTGAATGTTTAATGACAGTATATGTGGTGGTCAACTTGCAACACCCACCTGAACTGAATTAGTGGAGTTTTTTGGAAGCACCTGAAGAGTGTTGCCAATAGCATAAAAAGAGAAGTGGAGGGGAAGATGGTATGCTGTTGGTCCTCTTGGAGCAGCTTGTCATGCTGGTTTTTCTGATACAAACTCAACTGTCCTCATTATTGGAAAAGCTTGGGTCCTTGCTGTTGCAGAGGATGGCTGCAGTTTTCTTCAGGGGAGCTCCAGTTCTTACCTTGAGTGTCAATTCCTGGTTCTACTGCAAATCTCTCAGCTTCATGACACAGATCCTTCACCCCACTGGCACAGACTTTCTAGCTTACATCACTAGTCTTTGGGCCTTCCCAGTGCAGATCCTTGATACAGACTTGCATAAGACATTGTCATGGGCTCTACACCTCCAGCTGGACTTGTGAAAAACACTGCCATGGGACCCAGGCCCTCAGCTGAATTCTTTGGGTTATTAGTGTGTGGACAGATCTCCTGCACTCTTACGTTTGACTACATAAAATAATCCTATAAATTATGTGTCGTATATTAAATCTATTCCCTTGCAAACGCTGACAACAGCAAATCATCTTTTTGTTTGTTTTTGCCGTGCTAGGGATTGAACCCAGAGCTTTATGCAGGGTGGACAACTGCTTCACCAACTGAGTTACACTCCTAGAACAGCAGCTTAAGATTTTTGATGCTTTGCAACTAAATCTCTAGCATCAAGGACAGTATCTGGTGGGTAGTGGCACTGAATATAGTGTGTAAAGGGGCTGGGGGGACAGTCTCAATCTCTAAGCTGTAAATACAAGTATTTAGGAATTAGTTCTTGGACCTGTTCTGTCAGCTTCCTGCCTGTTAGTCTCACCTCCCTGTCAACTTGCTGACAACCCCTATATTCACACTTAAAGTAGCATTTTCTTTTCTTTTCTTTTTTTGCAATACTGGGGATTGAACTCAGGATCTTGTACTTGCCAGGCAATCGCTTATTCTACCGAACTATCACCCCAGTCCTGCAGTAGCATTTTCTTTCTTTCTTTTTGGTGGAACCGGGGATTGAACTCAAACCCTTGCACTTGACGGGGAAGTGCTTATTCTACTGAGCCATTTCCCCGGCCCCTCTTTCTTTCTTTTTAATGTGTTTAGTACAGGGTCTACAGGGTTTCACTATGCAGATCAGACTTATAGTGATCCTATTTTCAGGCTCCCAAACTCTGGGATTATTATAGGCGAGTGCCACCACGCCCAGTCTCAGTCGCCCTCTCAGGGCCTTCACTGCACGCTAGGGATTGAACCCCAATAGCTGGGCCTAAGCAGGCGGGGTGTTTTTTTTTTTTTCCCAGAACCTGGAATTGAACTCAGGCTCTTGGGCTCACCAGGGAAGCGTTTATTCTACTGAGCCATCTCCCCGGCCCCTAAGCAGGCGCAGGCATTTTAATCTGCTGAGCTATCTGGCTGGCCCTGCAGTAGCATTTTCATAAAACCCAGTCTAATGTACCCACCTACTTGCTTAGCTGGTCTTTCTCCTTGAATTTATAATATAGATCTCAACTTTAACCAAAATCCAATCTAATCCAAAACTGCCATAAATAAGCCTATACTTAGTCATTTAAATCTCAAACAGGAAGATGTTCCTTTCACTTGTTCAGGCCAAAAACAGTGGACTTACTTTCTTTCATACCCCAAATTGTCCCAGAAGCTTCAGTCTTAAGACTTACTGACTTCTGCACTTGCTATTATATCTGCAACGCTCTTTCTCTAGCTATCTCCACAGTTGGATCCACAGTTTACTCCCTTTCAGGAGTAAACTGTAAAAGTTTACATAGTTAAAGTCTGTCCTAACTACCCCTCCTTTCTCCTTTAAGTGTTCTTTAAAACACTAACCTGATATCCAAACTCTTATTTACCTGTCTGTCTGCAATGGGGACACATATATTTGACAAAGCCAGGACTTCATCTGGTTTGTTTACCACTGTCATCATTCCCAGTCTAAGACAATGCCTGGCAAACATTAAGTGGCCAGTAGCAATAAACACTGGTTGAATGAATGAACCTCTCCAGACTTCATTTCCTTCCTGAGAGGGGATGTGGGCCCCCTTGCAGGGATGTTGAGTGGATTAACTGAGACAGCCTTTGATAGTAGCAGACCGAGCACTCCATAAATATGAGCACAAGCAGGAAAACAATGTGTTGGTCTGAGTGCTCTGAGGGATGCTGCCTTTATTTCCCTCACTAATCCTATACTCCTGATTCAAAAGGATTACGCAGTGCAGGACAACCTTATATTCAAGCAAAGTACAATAAATGGCCTTGCTCTCAACCTCTTTTGGGTACTATCTCCCCATGGGAAGGGGATACTAAAGAATGTCGATATTATTTGCATTTCCATGATTAAATCTTTCACAAAGGTAGCTCTTTTGTTTTGTTAAGGTCTGCAAGCTCCTAAGGACTAAAGAAATCAGTGAAGAGGAGGGAGAGAGGGAGAACCAGAGCTCCCAGATCTCTCCTCAAATCCCCTCTCATAGCTAAGCTCCTTTTGGTGGCTTAGTGCTTCCTCTCCTCAGTAAGCACCGCTTTTTCCAAACTGGGTGCTATTTACCCCTCCATTCACAGGCCAACTCTACAACCTTCACACCTGTGGCTTAACCAAACTGGGAGGCCCGGCGCATTAGAAAATCTTATACTTGGGGAGGGGCTCTCTCAAAGCGTACCTCTCCGAGGGTGGCCAAGCGCCTGCCCTCAGGGCATCCGGCGGCCGCGCCCCGCCTCAGGCCTAGAGGCCTCGCCGCCCCTCGGCTTAGGGCACTGCCCGGCCAGGCCGCGCTGGGAGGCGGCGGCCACCGACACTCAGCTCCGTGGGGATCCGGCCTCAGGAGCTGGGCCCGGGCGAGGGGCGCTCGGGCACCGGAAGATCCGGAGCGCGCCGGGTGCAGATGGAAGTCTCCAGACGCGGGGCGGGGGTAGGTGCGGGAGGGGGATTCGGGGAGCCCGGAGAGTCCAGCCAGAAGGGGGAGGGGCAAGAGTGCGCCGGGCCCGACCAGCGAGAGAGGGCGCAGGCTGGAGGAGGGGGCGCCGCGGCCGCAGGGAGAGGGACCAGGCCGAACCCGGGCCGCGAGGCGGAAGCAGGGTCCCCTCCCATCCTCACCTCTAAGCATCGGCTCTGGTCGCGGGATGACGGCCACCACCACAGCCTCGTCATCGTCCTCGTCTTCCTCGCACTTGAGCGTCACCTCAAAGCAGTCGAGCTTGGCGCCTTCGGCCCTCAGGGCCATGATATGGCCGGAGGCGACCGCAGCGACCTGACGCCAGAGGACCGGCGCGCAGGCCTCAGTGCACTGCAGGAGGCCGCCTGCGCCCGGCGCCGTGCCGGGTTCTCGGCCTGCTCCTCACAGCGCGCCTGCAAGAGACCCGCGCGCGCCGCAACCCCGGGCGGAGAGGGCTCAATCCGGGGCCCGCGCCCCACCGCTCGCTCTTACGGAGGCGCAGCGTCGGCGCCCGGGCCCGCCCCCGCCCCCGCCCCCTGCTCCGGCCCCATGGCCAATCACGCGTGGCCCCGCCCTGCCACGAGGCTCGGTTAAAAGTCCCGGTGGGGCCGGGTCGCAGCTCCCGGGCGGCGCAGGGGTGCGCTCTCTGAGGAGCGTCCGGCTCTGATTTGGTGCAGGTGCAAGGAACGCTACCAGAAGTTCCAGGCCTTTGGTCGGGGTCGCCTTTGCTTTTCAGCGAACAGATCGTCCAGGTGCCTGGGCGAGAAAAGAACAGTGAAAACCTGACAAGGGCTGCGGGTTGGAAGCGCGAAGGCTAATTTTCTTTCAGTTTGCCAGTTCTGTGATCTTGGTCACGTTGTGTGTCCTTAATGAACTCATTCATTCTTTGAACACCTGTTTGGGACCCGTCTGGATAAGAGACTTAAGAGGGACCTCATGGAGTGTGGGTGTCTGTAAACCGCCTGGTTGCTTATGATTTCTGTGTGTGGTTTGGTTTGGTTTTTGGTGCTGGAGATTGAACTCAGGACCTTCACACTGAACTGCATACCAGCCCCCTCCTTTTTTTGAGACAGGGTCTCGCTACATTGCTCAGGATGGACTGGAACTTGGAATACTCCTGCCTCAGTGTTCCAGAGTGCTGGGATTAAAGTATGTCACCAAAATCGGACTATGATTTTTGTTTTTTAAAGCAGAGTCCAGACATTCAAGGATACAGCAATCCCTTGAGATCCCCCAAGACCAAAGTCCAGTTGTGACACTGCTGCATCTGGCATGCTATGGCTGAGCCTTACCTCTGACAGGGAAATCTAATCTCCAGTACCAAAACTGGAGACTTGTTGGGAAAACCCATAATGGCCAACCCTGAGCCTCCAATCTAGACCTGCACATAGACCAGACAGTAATTTAGGATACTTTACAAAGATAGGTGAAAAAGGGAGGACTGAGGAGTTGTGAACTAGTTTACTGGGATAAAATAATAATACTTCCTTTCTTCACTTTGTTCCTGGGGATTGAACCCAGGCCCTCTCACACATGCTAGGGCAAGCCAATCTGTACTCTCAACCCTTAATACATTTTTTTGGGCACATTTGCGATACATAATGACTACATTAATGATTAGAAATTGTACATATACATTTCACATCCTAGTCTCTTTTATTTCCTCCTCCCTTCCCCCTCTATTCTTAGATCCCTTGCCCATCTGCAAAAAGTCTACTTCCCTTTTTCCTACTGTCTGTCTTCCCTGTTTCAGGCTGTCCTGGAACTTATAATCCTCTTTCCTCTGCTTCCCACCTATCTGTGATTATAGGCATTAGCACTATGTCCAGCCACTGTATATATATATATATATACATATATACTTCCCTGGCAAGCACAAGGGTCTGAGTTCAATCCCCGGTCCCCCCCAAAAAAATATATATATACACACATATACATATATATACATATATATGGACTACAAACTGAGTTCAAAGTCAGCCTGAAATACATAGTGAGAGACCCTGTCTCAAAAAAAAAAATTCTTTTAGAAAAATGTAGTTCAAGGGCCAGGGAGATAGCTCAATAGAATAAGTACTTGCCTGGCAAGCGTGGGGTCCTGAGTTCAATCTCCTGTACCGCAAAAAAAAAGAAAAAAAAAAAAGAAAAAAAGAAAGGAAACTATAGTTCAGGGGGCCACGGAGATAGCTCAGTGGTCTAAGTGCTTACCTAGGCAAGTGCAAGGACCTGAGTTCCATTCTCGGTACTACAAGTATGCCGATCTGCCCCAAGTACCAGCCCCACCTCTGGGGCACAGAGCCAGTCACCAAGATCTGGAGTGGTGGCGTACACCTGGAATCCAAGCACTGGGGAGGCTGAAACAGGAGGATTATTATGAGTCCAAGCTGCATAGTGATACCCTGTACCAAATACATAAAATTATTTTAAAAAACATTAAAATGTAGTATAGTGGGGCTGGGGAGATAGCTCAGTAGAATAAGTGCTTGCCTGGCAAGCGCAAGGGCCTGAGTTCAATCTCTGGTTCCACCAAAAAGAAAAAAGAAAAAAGAAACAAAAAAAATGTAGTATAGCTTCATCTTGAACTCACGCTGTATCCCATGTTGGCCTCAAACTCACTACAGTCCTCCTGCCTCAAACTCCCAAGTGTTGGGATTACAGATGTGTACCACCAGGTCTGGCTAAGAAAAGTTTTAAGTGCATCTAGTACTTTCATTGTAGCAAGGGTCTTGTCCATGTTCTTGATTTCCAGAAGAAAAAAACTGAGCAAGACATGCACAAGTAGCAGCAGAATCAAAGATTTGTTTGAAATTGAAAGTATACTCCAGAATGGGATCTAACCATGGCTCCCAGCCTTGAGGAGACTTGGTGCTAAGGATGTTAAGCATGAGGATTTGGGGTGGGATTAAGGGGTTGGCCCGAAGTTTGACTCAGAGTAGCTTGGCTTGGCTTCTCTGGAAATCAGTGGAGTTTTTGAAACCTTCATGGCCCTTTGAAGAGCTGTCATAGTGTCCAAAGCCCACAGGATCAAATCAGCATAGCTGATGAGGTGATAATTAGGGCTGGGGTCAGTCAAGGGTTGCTGAAGACCACTGGGCTCATCCTGGAGAGTTACTGTTTGTAAACTAAGTTAACTAATGACGTTGTCCTGTTGTGCCTTGGTCCTAGTTTAAGGTTTAACTCCCAAAGTGGACCTGGCCCAGAAAATGGTCTCCAGGTTGGGTTCTTCCTTCTTTCACCAGCTGTTACCTCTTTCCTCAGAAACTTCAAAGATTGCAAGTGAAGGTACAGCATTACCAACTTCTTTGACTAATTCCTATTTAGTAGTGATGCTGTGCCATGTGCCAGGCCTTGTGTTCCTGCTCCATGCTGTGTCTCAGTGGACTGACCCTTAATATCACCATAGGGACAGAGATAAATCTGGGCCCTAAGCCTGTGTGTGTGTGTGTGTGTGTGTGTGTGTGTGTG